TTTTAAATTAAATAATAATTTTTTATTAAAAATATTTTATAATCATTAAATTAAAATGTATATCAATCAATATCTAACAAAAATATATAAAATATACTTTTTATTTATTTTAATTAGTATTTTATATAATCTTTAGATAGTAAAAAGACAAATAAACCAAAAGCATCAATGAATATTTCCAAGTGGAGCCATTGTGTCAGCCAAAAAAATAAAGAAAGAGAGCAGTGCTAGGGGCACTCGCCTCTTGCACTCTCTGGCCAACACTTCCCCTTTCATTGGGCCACGTAAGCTTATTTCAGCTTTTGAAGTGCTTTCTGTTGCCACCAAAATAACGTGGCCCAATAAAAGTGAAAGTGTTTGCATGACAGTGCAGGAGGCGAGTGGCCCTAGCAATGCTCAAAGAAAGATACTTTTTCGTTTTTGTCTTTTTACAAGGTAGCCCGGATAACGAAATTTATGGCCATTATACAATGGAAATGGGTGTTTTTTCCCATATGAATTGCCCAAAAATTATGTAATTTAAGTATTAAAATTATTAAAATATTAATAATTAATAACTATAAAAGATAATTTTATTAAGAGTGTTTTTAGTAATTTTAGTTTTTGAATTATATAAAAAAGTGCAATATATACTTAAAAATACATTTTTGTATGCCATGGGTGTATGCATATATACAGTGTTTCATAATATGTTATGGAATTAAATATATAGATATATATTAATTCATTTTTTATTATGAATAACAAAATCAGTTATAAAATATCACTGTTATATTGTCATAAATCATTGTAAAACAAATATTGTAAGTTATCATTTTTTTATTCAGATATTAAAATATTAAAATTTTAATTTGAAGATATTTATTAAATCTTAATTAAGAAAATGTACAATATTACTTTTATCAATTTCAGGAATCATTTGAAGACATGATGATGCGGATCCATACCACCACAAAGTTGGGCAAAATTTCCGAAGATATTCGCAAACAACACAAAGGATTTCGTGAATGGGATGTTGTATCAAGCCGGCGTGACCATCAGACCATTCTCCAAGTACTTGCTTATTTACATCTTAATTTTGTTTTTTCAACACATAATCATCTCATTAATAACCAATCAATTCAGTAATAGAGAAGGTTACAGTTTGTCTCATTTGATCTATACTATTTTCAATTATTGATTGAAAAATTTACTCTATCAATAATTAAGTACACACAATGTGTAAAGCAGATTGCAATTCATTTTTCTATTAATAATTTATATGTTGGCTAAATTAATTTATAGATCCTCATTGACGGGCGAGACCCTGGAGCTGTGGATATTCAAGGGGAACATTTGCCTACTTTGGTGTATCTAGCACGCGAGAAAAAACCTCAGTATCACCACAATTTCAAAGCTGGAGCCATGAATGCACTGGTAAGCCAACCAAGTACTTCAAGAATTTTCCACCAATTAATTGCAATATGTATGTACGTTATGCTTCTTAATTACGCATATATCTTGATGATGAGTATAGATCAGGGTGTCATCCAAGATAAGCAACTGTCCATTTATTATGAATGTGGACTACGACATGTATTCCAACAACTCGGAGTGCGTAAGAGATGCCATGTGCTTTTTCATGGACGAAGAAAAGGGTCACGAAATTGCTTATATACAGCATCCGCAGCACTTTCATAACCTCAAGAAGAATGATATTTACGCCAGTTCCCTCCTCGTAGAACATGAGGTATATATGTAGGCATATCATCCTTTTTGATCTTCAAGATAATACTATCTCCGGTTTATTTTAGTTGTCGCTTTGCCTTTTGCACATAACTTTAAATAATGCTGAGGTAATTATCAATTAACACCAGATTATATTAACATGACAATTCTGTGGTGGTTATATGTATATGAAGGTGGAGCTGCCAGGAATGGATGGAAATGGTGGACCTTGCTACATTGGCTCTGGCTGCTTTCATAGGAGAGATGCCCTTTGTGGGAAAAAGTACAGTAAAGAACTAAAACTTAACTGGGAGGAAGTGAATGATAAGACTAAAATTGAAGAAAGTGCAATTGTCCTAGAAGAAACTTGCAAAGTCCTTGCAAGTTGCACCTACGAACAAAACAAGCAATGGGGAAAAGAGATGGGTTTGAAATATGGGTTTCCTGTGGAGGATATAATTACAGGACTATCCATTCAGTGCAAAGGTTGGAGATCCGTTTACACCAATCCAGAAAGGAAAGGCTTCGCAGGTCTAGGTCCAACAACGTTATTGCAGTCACTTATACAACAGAAGAGATGGTCTGAAGGTCATTTACAGATCGTCCTTTCCAAGTACTGTCCCCTACTACATGGACACAAAAAGATTCCCTTAAAACTCCAACTTTCATATTGTCCTTTCAATATGTGGGCTGCCAACGGCTTGCCTACACTGTACATTGTTGTTGTCCCAGCACTTTGCTTGCTCAGAGGTATCTCCTTATTTCCTAAGGTATGAATTACCCAAAGGGGTTTTTTTAAGCTATTCAGAATTAGAATACGTTTTCTAATGCATTAATTCAGAATTGTAATGCTCAATATCTTTGATAATTACCAGATATCAAGTCCATGGGTGACACCATTTGTCTACGTGGCATTTGCTCACCGTGCATACAGCCTTGGAGAATTTTTATGGTTTGGAGGCACATTGAAGGGCTGGTGTAACCTGCAAAGGATATGGGTGTTCAAAAGAACAACATCCTACTTGTTTGGCTTCTTTGACACAATCCTGAAGCTGCTGGGGCTTTCAGAGCAAGCATTTGCCTTGACAGCCAAGGTAGCTGATGAGGATGTTTCGGAGAGATACGAGCAAGAGGTGATGGAGTTTGGTGCTTCTTCACCCATGTTTAGCATCATAGCAACACTTGCATTGCTCAACCTCTTATGCTTGATGGGGAGTACACTTAAGACGGTTATTATAAAGGATACCAATATGGCAGAGGTTTTTGATCAATTTGGGTTGCAAATCCTTAGTTGTTGCCTTTTGGTAATTATCAACCTGCCTGTATACCAAGCTCTCTTCTTCCGGAGGGACAATGGAAGACTACCTCCATCAACGACGTACCAGTCTATGGTTACTGCCCTATTAGCTTGTGCAATAGCCGTGTGTTGAACCCCATTCAAAAGCTAAACAACTCTATGTCTACATTTTCAAGACATTAAATAACTTATTTGTTGTTGTTGTTGTTGGTTTTTTTTTTTAATTGTATAATGAAAGGTGATTTTCTCTTATTATATAATATAATTCACTTTTATATTATACGAATTGAATTTAATATATCTTATTTTTATTAAAAAATTATTATCAAAATTATTAGCATAGTTCACCTCTTATACTAAATTTTAGTGATGTTTTGTGGATTGATAAATAAACTATTTTTGTATGGTTATTCTTAGGAATATATTTACAGTTTGAACAATGATTCATGCACCCGTCGGTTTGACACGCAATGGGTGCACACTACATAAAACAAATAATTTTAAAAGTAAAATTACAAATTTACCCTCCTCACTAAACCCATTTCCCAAATGACAGTAAGAACAAATCCTAGCAAAACACAATCAAGCATTCAAGCACCAAATCCATCCTTATCCTAATCATCTGCAAGATAATTGGTAG